ACACCACATCAACCTGAAAGTTGGTATAGCACCTATTGCTAAAGCATTTGTCAAACTCAATCAGGAGGAGAGGGTAGTGGTGGACAAAATGGTGAATTGTGTGTTGACTATCGCCTCCTCAACAAGTCCACAATCAAGAACTTCTTTCCAATTCTGAACATGGAAGAGCTCTTCAAGGAGCTGGGCTAGCTGTATTTCTTCACCAAACTAGATTTGAGATTTGACTATTACCAAATATTTGTCGCTGACAAGGACTGCTTCAAGACAGCTTTCGGGATAGTGTAAGCAACTAAATTTTCCATTCTACTTTAGTCACTTAACCACACCTCTAACCACTTGGAAGAGTCTCATTCACAACCTCCTTAAGTCCAATTCAGGACTTAGGACTTGCTAGTCCTGAGAATGGCATCCATGCCACTTAACCCTTGCACTTGGTCCAAATGCTCCATGTGACCAGTCCTAAGACTGACACCCAAAGGTACCACTGACATATCGGCCTGTTACGCTAAGGCCATGCTCATTCACCTTTGCCGCATTGGTGGTCCAATACCACTTGCATCACAATCCCATCTCTCCAAGACTGGACCGTCCGTCCACGAGTGGTCATCCCAGATCCACTCCTTAGCATCCTTAGGATGTCCACAGACATGGGGAATAGCCTTCCCCAACATCCCTTTGTCAGTTCCTGCTAAATCCCTTTTTCGTCCATGGCTATGTTCATCAACACTGCCACTAGATCAAGGCCCGCAGGCCCGGCCACTAAATCCCATTGTCCTTTGGGACTTCCTCACCATGTGACCGTATCCGTAGTCACTACTCTAGAGGATTGCTCCTCCTCCTTTCCCCCATTTGGGACTTCGGGACAACATTTCGGAACACCGTGGCCCTATGTGAGCCTCGTGGGTACTCTCCCCTTAGGTGCTCTAGCCATGGGCTTAGAGCGAGGTTCCGTTGAGCCACACCAGGTATCCAAGTAGGTAGTGCCACCCACACTTGGATTGGGAGCATCGGCCAATCGATCTCCCGGGGGAACTAGAGCCAGCTCTTGAACACTTCACCAAGCTACCCTGCTTGTTGGTCCGTATTCACTATAGTCTTGGACTTCCCAGTGGTCAGTTCATCATCCAACACTGGGTCTGGCCTTCCTAGGCCAAACTGGCTCCATTGCAGTCCTCCCCCTTACTATACTTTTGGAGTTCACCAAACCCCCCAGGGTTTGGGAGATGAACGCTTTGGGCTTTCACCCTCTCAGACTCGAACTCGGACTCGGACTCAAACTCGGACTCGGACTCGGACTCGGACTCGGACTCAAACTCGCACTCGAGCTCGGGCCCGGTCTCAGTCTCGGTCCCGGTCCCGGTCTCGGTCTCGGTCCCGGTCTCAGTCCCGGTCCCGGTCTCGGTCTCGGTCCCGGTCTCAGTCCCGGTCTCGATCTCGGTCTCGGTCTTGACCTCGGACTCCATCTCGGACTCCATCTCGGGTCTATCTCAGACTCCATCTCAGACTCCATCTCGGGTCTATCTCGGACTCCATCTCGGGTCCATCTTGGACTTCATCTCGGGTCCTTCTCGGACTCCACCTCGGAGTCCAACTCGGGTCCACCTCGGGTCCATCTCGGACTCCATCTTGGACTCCACCTCGGATTCTAACTTGGGTCCATCTCGGACTCCATCTCGGATCCACCTCAGACTCCATCTCGGACTCCGTCTCGGTCCATCTCGGACTCCAACTCGGGTCCATCTCGGACTCCGTCTCAGACTCCATCTCGGACTCCGTCTCGGACCCCATCTTGGGTCCATCTCGGACTCCATCTCGAGTTCATCTCGGACACTTCTACATGTCATGTGTTAGTCTTTTTGGGTCCCTTTTTTAGAGCCTCGCTTATTGCTCGCTTCGTGCTCATTCCTCGAGCACTTTGTTGGGAGTTCCACTCCCGCTCTCGACCTTTCAAGTCGGAGCTTTTAGTCCAAACATGTTACGCTCGTTTGGCTTTCACTTCGGCCACTACCACGTGGCGCCCTTTCGGCTCCACTTTGGGGCCTAGGGATTTTGTGTCTCACAGATAGATGTTATAGATGCCTTGGATGCAAGGGTAGGAGCTATCTTGAAACAAGGGGAGAACCTCATAGCCTTCAAGAGTAGCAAACTTAGTGACATGAAGACTTGCCAGCTGGTTTATGAGCAAGAGATAGATCACAGAGGGGCATAATCAGGACCCAGTACTATCACCAATACTAGATCACTTCCAGCCCTCATATTCTGATTTCAGCTTCAAAGATGGGCAAAGGATACCCTTTGTCACTTGCTGGGAAGCCAAGAAGATATACTACCTCATGAGGACTTTACGGATCCGAGATGTAGGGGCCAGGCTTATCCAATGTGCAGTGGATGTTGACAGAAACTGGAGACCTAGGAATCTCCCACAAGATATGATACCCAACTGGAAGTCATGGCATGCACTATCCTCTATCTTCGGTTCCTATGATGAGGAAAGGTTGTAGATAGTGTCATTGAGGACTCCAAACAACTAGATTGACAATACGGGATGGGATGGTGGCACAGCATCATCAAATGGACAACCAGCTTTGGACACGAGATCAACCACTTGCTTGACGAGGAAAACAGGTTGTGTGGATAAGAACCAAGTAGCCATGACTAGGTACCATTTGTACACAGAGGAGATCAACCTAAACAAGATACATAGTGACAATTTATAATAAGCTCTCAAATTGGAATAGACAAACATTTTATGAATAGGACATGAATATAAGAAATTGTATTCAAGTGTGGTGGCATTTCAAAAATAGTCATCAGGCTAAAACCTTATAAGTCATCAGCTTAACAAAATTCAAAAGCTAGATCACTTAATAGAGTCAAGGGATGGTCCAAAAAGTTTGGAGGAAGCACATTTGAACAAATATATATTGTACCTAATGAAAGATTAGAAAGATTATAATATCTAAGTATGAGAATAATGAATATTTTATTGATGGTGGAAAGTGCTATACTAAACTTCTGAAAATGTGTTCATAGAATAAAACAATTTTTGCAAAGAGTTGTATATAAACACTACGGTGCAATGCTAACTAATAATTGACATAAGAAACAACTACTATATCTTAGAAAATACCTAGACACAAGTGGGATGATGCTACCGCACAAGGAGCCACCAACTTTACATCCAACCAAAGTCCAATGCACCAAAGGGACAGAAATAGTGACACCAACACTGCCTGATATACCAAGATCTGCTCTCCCCCCACATCAACTGGAACACCCACTGCTAGCCACCCCTGAATATGCAGTGCTGTTACCTGAGACCCTCCAGGAAACAACACCCAGACAATGAAGCAGGGACAGCTAGCAGTGACACCAATGGAGGAGCTGTGGAGCCATGGGAGAAAATCAACACGTGAACACTAATCCACCTTGCATTTTTGCTCCCGAGGAATTAAAATCATGATCACTCGATGCTACTGCCTTTCCTTTAAGCGAAGAACACAACTTTAAACAACATATAAATAGATACAGTTTAAAGCTGTGGTTAGAGTTTCCTGAATCCATCAGTTGGATGTAACCAGTATATGAATGAATGAATGAATTTTGTCTTGTGCTCCAATGGTACCAATTGAAGAACGGCATGGGTGTTCAGTCATACCTTTAAGGCAGATGTGACAAACTCAACAAGATTGCCTAAGATTGTGGACGTCTTTTTTCAGATTCAGCATCCCTGGACAGATCTAATATGTGTGTGGAGGACAGTCTAACAAACAGACTTGTTTCAGGTCAAGGGCCTGTTTTTCTTGCTACTTCGTTAAAACATTTAGAAACTTGTTCTAGAGCCGATCCCGGGTTCGAACCCAAGAGGGACTCCTTTTAATTTCCTGGGGCACGGCGAACACGTGACTCCTGTCTAATTTTTGCGTGCTCAACGTGGATTTTGCGTCAAGCTGATCTTCACGCGTTATATGGTTTAGATTTATTTTTGGCTAGCGATTTTGACTAAAAGAGCTTCTGGATTGGCTATCTACAAGCAAAGTGGTAGACGATACACGTACTCTACTTTACCATGAAGTATATGAGGAGGAACACGAGAAGAAACGAGGCAACGATCGTGAACATGTTGCGGCCAGATTTTGTTTCGAAGACCTGGGGGGATCGCAAAGTCAGTAGCAGTCGATCGAGCCAAAGAGAAGAACAAAAATCGAGTTCGCTTAGCTTACTCTTTTGAATCGATCGACTGTCCCGGAAAGCATGCCTCGCGCAGTATCCATTCCACTCCCCTGTGCAATTCTAGAGATTAGCAAAGATCTCTTTCGAGAAAGCTTACGTGCGTACCATTTGATCCAGGAGTCGAGAATGCGATTGCGCTTCTTCATGGATATCTGTTGTCAGCTGCGAGAAAGAAATCCACAAAACGGTGATGAAAGATCGAAAAGAAAGACGCAGCTACGAGAGAAGCAAATTTGGTTCTCTAGGACCAAATTACCAAAGGGAAAAGAAAAATGGAAGAAAGAGCTCTCGATCTTACCGTCTTGAGCATCCGGACTCGATCGTGGAGGCCGTCCAGATCTCTCTCATTCTCTTGCTCATCGATCTCGCCGCTGGCATACGAGGACGAAACATTCCTCCCGGCTTCCAGATTATCAAACAGGGAGCTCCTGTTGCCGCGATAATCCCTGCGTCACAAACACCACAAAACCCTAGCGCCCAGAGTCGATTGGAAAGCGTCGAATTCTCACCGCCATTGGCTCATCGCTCTAAGCGCGATCGCTCGCTCGCTCGCTCGCTAGATCCCAATTGCCTTCCCTAGGGCCACAGTAAAATTTCTCTCTAGGTTTCCATCCAGCTAGGGCTTGTGGGGGAGCGCCTTGGATTTGCGCTTAGATCTGGAAGCTCGTTCCATCGGCCAGGTCTGGATCGTGCATTGGATCCCGAATGCCGGATTCCAGGCGCTGAAATCTTCGTTGATCCACATCGCGTCGGTCGGCACAGGGATTTCGGATGAGCTTCACGACTATGGAGCAGCTCAAGACGATTGGGCGGGAGCTGGCAATGGGCTCCCAGGGGGTGTGGGGATCGTCCAAGGAATTCCTGGAGCTCGTCAAGACGATTGGCGAGGCGAAATCCAAGGCCGAGGAGGAGAGGATCGTGCTGGCGGAGATTGAGAGCCTCAAGCGCCGGATCCAGGAGCCGGATGTGCCCCGGAAGAAGATGAAAGAGTATATCATGCGCCTCGTCTATGTGGAGATGCTCGGCCACGACGCTTCCTTTGGCTACATCCATGCCGTGAAGATGACCCACGATGACAATCTCTTGCTCAAGAGATCCGGCTACTTGGCGGTCACGCTCTTTCTCAACGAGGACCACGATCTTATCATCCTCATCATCAATACCATCCAGAAGGATCTCAAGTCGGACAACTATCTCGTGTGCTGTGCCGCGCTCACTGCCGTGTGTCGGTTGATCAACGAGGAGACAATCCCCGCGGTTCTTCCCCAGATCGTCGAGCTTCTCAACCATCAAAAGGAGCTCGTGAGGAAGAAGGCTGTCATGGCTTTGCACAGATTTTTCCAGAGGTCTCCTTCGACTGTGTCGCACCTCTTTCCAGCTTTCCAAGAGGTAAGTTGCTGGTTTTCTAGTTCCGAAGCTTCCTACTAAGTCTATTGTTTTTCCAGAGACTTTGTGATAGAGATCCCAGCGTGATGAGTGCTGTTTTGTGCGCGCTCTATGACATGATCCTCGTAAACGTGAAGCCTTTCAAGCATTTAGTAGCGAGTCTGGTCAGCATTTTGAAGCAAGCCGTGGAACACAGGCTGCCAAAGTCGTATGACTATCACCGGACTCCAGCACCTTTCGTGCAGGTAAACTGCCGCGCTCGTTTGATATCAGAGTATGCTAAGTGGGAAATCTTGCTTCACAGATTAAGTTGCTGAAAATTCTCGCTTTGCTCGGGACAGGTGACAAGGCTGCCAGCGAAAACATGTTTAATGTGCTGGGAGATATTCTCAAGCGCTCGGATTCGACCAGCAACATTGGCAACGCGATCTTGTACGAGTGCGTCAGGACTCTGACATCAATCTACACCAATCCTCGGCTACTGCAAAATGCAGCGGAGATAACCGCAAAGTTCTTGAAGGTTTGTTGTGTCATTTCATTGCGGAGTATATACTGACATAGTTTGGTGCAGAGTGATAACCATAACTTGAAGTACATGGGAATTGATGCCCTGGGTCGGCTTATCAAAATTACGCCAGAGTGTGCCGAAAATCATCAACTGGCTGTCATTGACTGCTTAGAGGTAGCGTCTCTATTCCTATTTATTGAAGGATCGCCTTTCAGTGCGAACTCTTGTAGGATCCAGACGATACGTTAAAACGGAAAACGCTGGATCTATTATACAAGATGACAAAAGCCAACAATGTCGAAGTTATTGTGGAACGCATGGTGGAGTACATCAGAAACATCAGCGATAACCACTACAAAACGGAGATTTCTTCACGAGTTATAGAGCTGGCTGAGCGATATGCACCAAGTAACCAATGGTTTATACAGGTAATACTATATGGTTTATACTTGCACTCGTCTCTTACGGACTAAATTCGTGTGATCGGGTGCCAGACGATGAACCAGGTATTCGAAATTGCGGGAGACCTCGTGCCTCAGAAGGTTGCGCATGACTTAATGCGTCTCATAGCCGAAGGAGCTGGGGAGGAGGATGAAGATGCTGACAGTCACCTTAGATCGTCTGCAGTATATTCATTTCATTATTTTCGAGTGTCTCGAGTTCTTAATTTACTGTGTTACAGGTTCAAGCTTATCTACAAATACTGAAGGAACCAAAGCTTCCCTCGATACTTCTTCAGGTACGTAGAGTTTTCTTTGTGTGCTGATAAATTTTCTGAAAACGTTTAATGGGCGTCCAGGTTATCAGCTGGGTGCTAGGTGAATATGGCATTGCGGACGGCAGCCACTCAGCTGAATTCATTATAGGAAAACTATGTGATATTGTCGCTACACGCCCTGGTGATGACAAGTTAAAGGTATACATTCTGATTGTTTACTGCGAACGTTGACGCCGTTCACTGCTTGCAGGGTTACGTTGTTTCGGCAATTACAAAAATCTGTGCATTCGAGAAAGCAGCTGGGCAGACAGTAGATCTCATTCCAGAGGTAGTGCCATTCAACGTGTACTCTTAAGATTTGACGTCTGAAAATGTGTTGCAGTGCGTCTCGTTCATCGAGGAACTGTACGCTTCTCATTCTACCGATCTACAGCAACGCATCTATGAATTCCACGCCGTGCTAAAGCTAGACAGAGATACCATTGCAAGTATCTTGCCTATGGATGCCAGCTGCGAAGACATTGAGGTCATCTATGCTTTTGATGCTCGTAACTCAAAACTGATACTCTTCCTTCTGATAGGTGGACAAGGATCTCTCCTTCCTCAACTCTTTCGTCGAATCCGCCTTAGCAAATGGCTCTAGACCATATCTATCCGACAATGAGCGCCGTGGAATGGGTGCAATGACAACCTTGGCATCCAACAATGACGCTGGTACGTCGTCTTTACTTCGTTTCCAGCCTTACGAGAAGCCAAGCATCCCGGAGCCTGCCGCAGCTCTCGTCACTGCGTCTCATTATAGCCAAGACGCGATCGACCAGCACGACATCTATTCTAGTACAATCACGGTTTCCACGAGCTCTAGAGCTCCAGAATCTAGCAGCAACGACGGCACGAGACTCAAACTCGAGGGAGTCCAGAAAAAATGGGGTCGTCCAACGTACACTCCTGAGGCGCAGGTGCCAAAGAATCCCATCAACATATCCGACAGTGTCAAGGTAAGCAGCAGCGCAGCAGGGAAAGAAGCATCGAGTAGAAACAGCAGCGCTCCTCCCTACACGGAAAGAAAGCAGCCTTCGCAGGAGATCTCTGCCGAGAAGAAGAAGCTCGCAGCATCACTCTTTGGAAGCAAAGCAGGAGAGACTAAAGCCAAGCCGGCAGCAAAGCTACAACAAAATGGAACGTCGAAAAAAGCTCCAGCAAAGCCAACTTCGCCGCCAGCTCCAGCTCCAGCTCCACCGCCTGCTGATCTACTCGACTTAAGTGACAGTCTACCTCAGATTCCCTCGGTGGATCCGGTTGATCAGCTGGCGGATCTAATCTCGGTTGATAGCTCGGCTGCTACGTCGACCACTTCGCTCGTCGAGCAAGTTTTGGACGCTGGAAAAGTTGCGACGAAGGGGCCATCGCCGCAAGCATCGTTGCAAAAGGACAGTGTTTCACGCCAAGTGGGGGTGACGCCGAGCGGAGGAACAAACCCGGACCTTTTCAAGGATTTGTTTGGATGAGGAAAGCTCGCTCGCGTTCTCGCGTTTGGCGCGGTGGTGTGAGATTTTCTCACATCCTTCTGGATCTGTATGGTCAGTAAGATTCTAATGGAACACGAGAAGAGCAACAGCGGAAATGCGTTTATACTTCTCTAGAGAAAAGAATTTCCATTCCCTGCGAGTCGGGCAGTGTACAAAACTTTTTCTGTGCTGATTCTTCTAAAAGTTGAAAGCGTTTTGTAGCCTGGATGCCATATGACCCGTCACGACTTGAGAAGCAAGCGACTGGATTTGCTTCTTGGCATCTGAGTTACATCGAAAGAAAAAAATGGAGTGAGTGGATGATTCGATCAAACTTTCACGTCGAACCTCTCCGGCATTTGGTGAATCCGATGATGTTGGCAACTCCGAGCGTGAGACAAATCCCCACGATCAGTAGATAGTCGAAGTTGAACTTAATGAGCGCGACAAGGCCCAGAGCTAGCCATATCCCAGGCTGTGAAACAAAACTAAGATCTCTCCTAAAAAAATAAAGTGGAGAGAGAGATAGAAACTTACAGCAATGTAGAGCGTCCACCAAAAGAGCCATGTATCCTTCTTGTTGAGCCTCTCCAGAGACTGAAAGGGGAAGAACCATTCAAAGCTTGTAGCGGTGAAAGAGAGAAGAAAGAAAAATTTCTTTGTGCGTACCTGTTGATCCAGCGACTCAAATCGCCACACACTCTCGCCTTGGTCATCGATCTCATTCCACCAGCGCAGCCCCACCAGGATTCTACCGCTCACGTTCTTCACCACCCAGAAATCCAGCGCCGCCAAAAGGACGGTGACCACGAACTGGATGATGAAGCTGCTGACGAAGAAGGAGCAGAGGATGTAGAATGCGATCGCGGATCCCTGCCAGGCGAGCGAATGAAGAGAGAGAGAGAGAGTGAGAATGGCGCGATCTAAGATGAGAATTTCGAGAGAGACCTTGAAGACGACGTGGAAGAACGCCGTGAGTGGATTCGAGTAGTTTTGCTGCGGCTGGCCCTCCTCCGCCTGCGCACAAGGCAAGGATTGAAATTCACGACGCCGGAAGCGCGGATCTGCAAACTCACCATGGATGGAATCGCCACTCGCCGAGCTCCAGATCGTAAAACCCTAGAAGAAGGCCGGGTGACGTGGCAAAGTGCCGCGTCAGCGTCCCAGCCACGTCCGTAACGTTCCGTCCGTACATAAAAGCCGTGCAAACGTACAAAACTTTTATTTTACAAAACTGGAATTTTTCCTTGCCCCGTTCGAGAGCTTGTTGGACAGCGCCGGCTTGTCTTTGGCGACGTATTCGTTCGTAACGTGGAACTCTCCGCGAGAAAGCTCCGTGGAAATCTGGGAAGAACGATGAGAAAGAGAAAAGGAGAGCGAGTTCTTCGATTCATACCTTGAGTGTTAGTAGAACATTTAGCGCGGAGCACAGCTGATTCATTCGCCTCCTCCCGCGGGTCTTGAGGTAATCGTGCATGACGGGATCCACTCGAAGCGTCATCGACGGCCACCTCGTGCTCTTGCTAAAGCTGTTCTTCCGGTTGGCCTGGCAAGGACGAAACGAGCGTTTGATCAGTTTTAAAGTTCTCTAGAGATGTTACCAGGATCTTTTTGACTGCTCTCTCAATCTTCGAGAGCGTCATTTCTACCGACTCGATGCGTCCAGTACCGCCGCAGCAGCTGCATGAATCAGTGACCCTCGAGGTGACGCTCGGCCGGTCCTGAAAGTTCCATAGCAAGTCAAGCACCACGAAGAGAACTGATACACAACAAGATTAAGTACCCGTGCTCTTGTCATTTCCATGAGTCCGAACTCTGAAATTTCCGAGATGACAACTTTAGACCGGTCCCGCTCAATGGCCTTGCGCATTTCTTCGAAAACAAGCCTTTCGTGACCTGCAGATATACCACAATACCTCAGCTCGCTGCCAAACTATCGAGTCCAGAGGCTTACTTGGATCCTCCATGTCTATGAAGTCAACAACTATAATCCCACCAATATCTCGTAGCCTCAGCTCTGTCGCAATCTGCGGCTCATTCCGTATGATCAGAAAATCACAGAGATTATGATGGTTTTTACCTTTCGAGCAGCAGCGAGATTTACTTCTAAAACTGCTTCTCGTTGAGATGTCGCATCACCGAGCATTCCCACGCCACCATTTACATCAATAGATACGAGAGCTTCGGTTTCCTCCAACACCAAATATGCACCGTTTGGTAGTTCTACCCTGCAGGGAGAACGAAAGCGAAAGATGACCACTTTTGCAAGAAACACCAAGCACCTACCGCTTGCTAGATGATTTCTCAATTTCTGCTTCAAGGTTGAAAGCCTCGAAGATAGGCTCTTTGCCAGAGTAAAGTTCCACACGATCACATAAGTGAGGTGCTATTTCTTGGAGGTAAGCTGTAACCTGAAAAGAAGAAAACACAAAGAAATATAAGTTTCTTATCTACGTCCAAAAGTCGTCACCTCTTGGTATGTTTGAGACGAATCCACGACAAACCTTTCAACCTGTAAATAATCGTTCAAAGAAAGAAGATAGTATACTGTGACAAACCTCATTGTTGAAGAGATCACGAACTGTCCTGAGCGTTTGTCCCATGGCCCTTTGTAGCAACACAGGGACCGGGTCTTTTCCACCAGCAGCAGCAGCAACCTCCGCTCTCTCCAGAATACTTTTCCACGTCTCCATGAGGCGTGCCAAATCCTTCTCGAGCTCTTCACGGCTGCGGCCAACAGCCTCAGTCCTCACGGTAAGACCAAATCCAGGAGGCTGCAGCTCTCTGGCAAGCTGCTTAAGCCGACTTCTTTCCAGCCCGTTAATCTTGCGAGTAACTCCAATGGTCGAAACTTGAGGCACCAGTACCTGCACTACATCTCCAACTTCACGCATTTATTCTCTAAAAAAAAGAGCTGGAGGCACTTACCCAGTATCGTCCCGCCAAAGCCACAGTTGCAGTAAGCTGTGGTCCTTTCTGCCGAAGAGCCTCTTTCTTCACTTGCACGACCATCAAAGTTCCTCTCTTGACTTTCCTCCATGCACCGATCTTCCGCAGGACAGTAGCCGGCTTTACGTTTGTCTTTCCATCGCTCTGTTCCATCTCCTCTCCGTTTGGATCGTCCACAGTTTCTTCAATTTCCTCTTCATTCACGTCGATAACTATCCCATCCTTGTTTCTCAAACCGTCCTCTTCGTTCCCCTGAGCTTTGTCACCGTAGAAGACGTGAGGGTATTGGTGCATGTTAACTTCCAGCAATGCCGTTCTGGAAGATCCAATCTCCACAAAAATCCCGTTCATGCCTGGGAGGAGCTGCTTCACAACGCCGAGGTAGACATTGCCAACTTGGAAGTTCGAGTTGACAGGCTCGAGCAGTAGCTGGACGAGCTTCTTGTTCTCGACGATCGCAATTCGCTGCATCGTGCACTCGGAGGAGTTGATGAAGATCTCCACTGCTACATCGCGAGCTTCCGGAACTTCCTGGCTCTCGCTCAGGAAAATGCTCTCGAGCAGCCATGGCTCCTCCCTTGGAAACACCTTCCGCTTCGGGAAAAATCTAAAGTCCGGCCACTTGGTCGCGGTTTCGCTCGAGACACTTGCCTGATCATCTTCTCCCTTGGAAGAAAAGTCTCTGAAAGCTTCGAGTTCTGCTACAGCGATGAAAGGATCTTCCTCTCCAAAAACCTTTTGATCCGAGAGTTGCAACGCGGCCAGGAACGGGTCTTCTTCTCCAAAAGTTGGAACTCTCGAGACATGGAGAGCTCTAACTTCTGAGGGCGATGAGTCGTGTAGAGACGGGACCTGGACAACGTAAGAGTTCTCCAAAGATCGTCCTGGTAGCACCTAGAAATTCTAGAGGAAATGAATCGAGCTTGTGAAAATCTCTACAATCACGGACGAACCTGTGAGCCATTCACTAGCGTTGGAGCTTCAGCTATGCTCGCTCTGGCCGCTCCATTCCCATGAAACAGCCGAAGAGACGAGGAAGAAGAACTCTCGGCCCAGGGATCTTCCTCGAAGAGAACGCGCTGGTCGCCCTCGGCTCTCCTGTGCGCCCGGGGAATGTGAAGGAATTCCGCGCCTGGAATCCCGAAATGCCGATCCCTGAGATGCCTGCGCTGAGAATCCGCCACGGAATTCTTGGAGCTCAACCTGGACGAGGAAGGAAACAGCGCTTCCGCGAGGAATGGAGCAGCGACGTGGATTGTAGGCGCCATTTCTCACCAGAGCAAGCGATTCCATCGCTCATTGTCAGCGATCCGCGAGCAGCTTATCCATATTTCGACACGCATTTTTTAGGGTTTATGCGGCTAGGTTGAAGGCAGCCACGTCATCCAAGTAGCTGACATGGCGGACACCACGTCTGACGTGGCGAAGGGACAACGGTCGGATCGTTTACTTGATAGTTCCGTTATACAGAGGTAGAGGCGATCGATTGATTCATTCGTTCTCTCCAGCTCGAAGCTATGGCGGATTTTCGTGCCGCAATCCCAGTTCCAGGAGGAAGGATTGAGAGCTTGCAATGGCGCCGACCAGGAATTCCTGCTAATCGACACCACAGGAAGAAATGGAGAACGCTAGCAATGGCTCGGGACGATTCTAGCAGGAAGAAGAACGAATTTCCTCTCATTCTCGACGCGAATCTCTCCTCCAGAATGGCAGCGTTCCAATGCGCCCTATCGTCCACTGCCGAGAACAACGAGACGACACACTGCCGCAGGAATTTCACCTCGAGCATCCAATCTCTGGTCCAACACAGCGATAGCGCGCAGAGGCACTGCGAGGCCTTCCAGGCATCGCTGGATTCGATCGAAGCTCGCCTCGCGCTGGCTCCCAGCGCCTCTGAGATTTCCAGCCTCCAGGTAAGAATCCATCCCCTGCTCCACAAAATATTTCATCGTCTCCCTGTTCTTGCAGACGCGCCTGGAGCGAGCATCGTCCTCCTTGCTCCCCCAATCCGGCATCGAGCAGTTGATCCGAGAGGCCGAGCTCTTGGAATCGAGGCTCGCAGAGATTCCAAGGGCGGAAGAAATCGAGGCCCTAGACACTAGAATCCCCGAAATGCTGATGAAGAGATCGTGGGAAAGAGTCGGCGATGGTGCCAGGAGGTTGCGGCGAGCGATGGATAGAGCTGAGATCGCGTGGCTGCGGCATCTAAAGGATACCGCCTCGCAGCTCATCGGGAATAAATCTTAGGGTTTATAGCTATTTGTCTGGAGCATTTTTCTAGGGTTCATGGAGACCTCTCTCAGATTTCGAGGCGATGAGAGGCAACTCCGGCTCCACGCGAAGGAGAATTTCCTGCTCGACAGCTCCTTTTGCCTCCAGGCGCGCATTTAATCGATCTCTATCGCGCACTTCTTCTCAAAATCTCTCGTTTCTTTTCTCTCGCAGGTCCACGGCTATCTCAACACGCACAACGGCAGGGCGGGATGCATCGCGCAGCTCAAGAGGAAATTCCTCCCCGAGGCATCGTCTCTCTCCTCTGCAATCGCTGGATCGATCGAATCGACCCTCTCTCTCTCAAAATTTGTTTTGCAGCTTCTCACGAGCTTGGATGTGGGCGCGCGATACGACACCGATCACAAGGAATTTACGTACGATGTGCGCGGCAAGAAGACGCTGCCTCTCACGGACAATGGATTGCTCAGCGTGGATCTCAAGGGAGGATTCAACTTTAATCCTCGATTGAAACTGGTGAGCGCGCTGGTTCTAGATCATTGTCCCTTCAATCGCCCTTCGATCGTCCAGGGAAAAGCCAGGGGAGCGATAGAGCTCAGCTACAAGGTCTTCAACTTCACGGAAGATCAAGATCTCAAGCTCAAAATCGGCTATGATCCTTTCAAACAGGCAAGAACAAACTTTTTTTCGTGTGATCGATCGAGATTTCTTTTGTTCTTGCGCAGAAGCCATACTTGCAATTGAGGGAGAACAATTGGACATTCAATGCCGACATAAACGGTGCCTGGAACATCATCTACGACCTGTAATTCTCGAGAGCGAGAGGGAACGAACGATTCTTTCAATCATCTCATTCATCTTAGCAGCGAAGAAGGGAAGGGAAAATTTTTCAGAGGTCTTACTTGCGTTTCTTGCTGGCACTGGCTAGTTCTTCCTCCAATTCTTCTTCTTCCTTCTGCTCTGGATCGGCTACTTCCAGCGCGCAGTGATGCCGGAGCATGTAATCGCCCAGTAGCTGCATCGCTTTGCTCTTGAGATCCACCAGCGCCGCCGAGAGCGATGGATTACTCTCGGATTGGATCGATTGGGCCTCCGCCTCGAGCCGGAAGCTCGCCATAGCCGCCGCCATTCTATCTGTCTTCTTAGCCCTAAAAAAAGGCTTTGATCAATTTTTTAGGGCTCTTCCTGTTGCCCGGCGAGGATGAGCGAGATCTTCGATGGGTACGAGCGCCAGTACTGCGAGCTGTCCACGAATCTCGCCAGGCGATGCAGCGCCACGGCGATTCTCTCCGGAGGTAGGCCCAGATCGAGCGATCGATCGTGGTTCTTCTGATTTGAGGGTTTGATCGATGTGCGAGAGAGCAGAGGAGAAGAAGCAGAAGTTGGCTGAGCTGAAATCCGGGTTGGATGAAGCACAATCTCTGGTAAACGCGATCGATCTTTTGTCGGAAGTCTAAAATTCTCGGAATTTTTTTTTCCTTCTTCTCTAGATCCAGCGCATGGAATTGGAAGCTCGCAGCCTCGGGAATTCGCAAAAGGCCGTGTTCCTGGCGAAACTGAGGGAGTACAAGTCCGATCTGACCTCGCTCAAGAAGGACGTACAAAAATGCGCGACGACTGACGCTCTCGCTGCCCGCGAAGAACTCTTGGAAGCCGGCCTGGGCGATTTGTCGGTAACGTTTCTTTGGCCATTTTCCCAGGGAAGAACTGTCTTTGATCGGCGATCCGCTGCAAATTTTCTTCCAGACTTCCACCGACCAGAGAGGACGACTACTGTACGCGACAGACAAAATGAATCGCTCCGGAGAGAGGATCAAAGAAAGCAAGAGAACTTTGCTGGAGACCGAAGATCTTGGAGTCTCGATTCTCCAGGACTTACACGACCAGCGCCAGAGACTCCTTCACACAAGAGACACGGTAAGTATTCGAGGAAGATCTCCATTTCTTCCCTTCAACTCTTAACGCTTCTCTCTTTGTTCCAGCTTTACGGCGTCGATGACAACGTTGGCAAAAGCAGGAAGATCCTCAACTCCATGGCCAGAAGAATAAATCAGAACAAATGGATCATGGGTGGACTCATTAGCTTCCTCATCGCCGCGATTCTACTCGTCGCCTATTTCAAATGGGTAAGCAAGTGATCGATCCTCCGATCTTATCAGTCTCTCTGGATGGATATAAACTATGCCGTTGTGTGTACATTCTTTTCCTCCTCCATACATACATTATATAGGTACGTAACAAAGCTTACGTTCATAGATCTCTCGGAAGCTTTTTTCTCACAGCTAAAAACCAAAGAGAAGTTGCGCCGTGTGGAATCCTGGGTGCGATTTCCAGTGGCCACTCGCAACGTTTACTTTGCGTTTTATTCTTCGCATTTATTCTCTTTTGAGTAGCAGCAAGCAGTGGGACGGAATCTACTGCGACACAATGCAGCACTTGGCTCGCTTGTGATCGTGAGAGCAGTGGAAGTTTGGCTCCTTGGGAACTGTCAAGCGTTTGGAAGATCTGCCAGGAGCAAAGTTTGTGAGCGTTTTGCTCCAGGAAAACTTTCACTACCTTTGTGGAATGAAAGGCCGATCGAAGTAAGGCATGAGTTGAGCACGAGGGACCATCTCTTTCCGCAGCTGCTTGATCTCTTCTTGTTCCGCAAGCTGTCGACGCATGAATCCAGCAGCTAAGGAAAGGGAATTTTATAAACTGTGCGAACCTCTTGCAGTCGCTGTTGCTCCTCTCGCTGATGCTCGATGTAAATTATCTTTGCGGCAATCTACACGCAAAACAAAGCTTAGTCGTCGCTCCAAAGCTTTTTATCAGAGTGATACGTACGTAGTCGTCGAATTGAGCTCGCCGGACGGATCTGAATTCAGTACAGAGCCTGATATCCATCGGAACAGTGTTCTCTTTCGGAGGAGGCTTGGGAACAACCTGGATCGAAATCTTAGATGCTGAAAGAAAGCAAAAGCCTCGAAGTTCTGGATAAGAAGTACCTCTGGTTCGTCAGTTGTCCATGGCAGGCCTTGTGCTATAGGAATCCTGAGCTTGCTATCTTCTTCAAATATCTTTTGCAGTTTCTTCCGGAACTCGTACTCCTTTCTCGCGCCTCGAGCCTGTGTACAAACTGAAAGAGTCCAGGAAAAGGAAAGAAGAAACTTGTAACGCACCTGTGTTCGCAGGCTAAAAGGTTGTATGCACGTTGCCTTGGACGACTTTTGGTAAGACTCGGATGATCCACAGTCACTGGCATTTTTCTCAGACTGGATGTCATCTTTCTCGTCCCTGCAATGTCAGGTTTGTTTGCAAGCAAAGCCATAGAAAAGCTTGAAGGAACAAATACCTGTCCAAAGAGCCACCTTCGCTGTCAGCATTGTCCTCCTCTGCCGATTTCTCTTGAGTTGCTTCGCAGGAACCAAACTCGAACTCTTCCTCGGTCTGCGACAACGATCGCCGGCTGGGCTGCCACTCGCGACGCTCCTCCATCTTTCGGATGTGAGTGTTTACTTCCGCGAGCGAGATCATACTCTCAAATGCCTGGACTAAGCTCTGAACCTTGGAGCCACAGATCCTCCTCCCAAGAGCGCGAAACTCAGCCTCAGTTTCTCCCTCCTGGTGAGAATCCTTGTCGATCGACGAGCCTGAAACCTCTGCATCGCCAGGAATCCCACCGCTGGAATCCTCGGCCGGGGGAGTCGAAGAACACAGGGACTCTTGAAATTCCGGTGCTCGAGCCTGGCAGCATGATTCCAGCCTATTGCTCTCTTGAAGAACGGCTGGGATAGGAGAGATCCGAGGTCTAGCAGCGATTGCCGCGGCATTGGGATCGCAATTCTCCAGCGATTTCTTCTTCTTCGTCATGCCGCATTCTTTCGCTGGGGATCTCGCGGCGCCAGCCATCGCCGATCGCCCCAAGGATCTTATAATACCTGGAATCTCCCAGCGATTAAAGTCGCTCCTCCTCTCGCGCTTCGCCGCCTCCCCAGCTCCCTGCTCTAACCTAATTCTGCGAAGGAACGTTGTTTAGGCTAACGGCTAGATGCGCCTACGTGGCGCCACGTGGCAGGAAACTTAGCATTAGGGTTCTTCGTGGCTATGGTGGGAGACTGGAGGAAGGGCTACTGGTATGTGATCGTAGGGTTTCTGACGCTCGGGCTGATTCTCTACTTGACGAGCGACATCGAGCATTGGCTACTCCCTAGGGATTCCCACGTACAAGATTCCGGGCGTCTTGCGGATCTTCTCCGGCGCCAGGAGCAGGGGCTCTTCGAAATCTGGAATGCGACGCGCGATTCTTCTCAGGCCGATGCCTTGCGCTCGCAGATCGAGCTCAATCACCAGATCCAGCAGCTGGTATCAGGCGCCAGACATGGATACGATCCGGGAATGGGGGGCTGCCAGGGCCAGAATTTCTCATCCAGACGCCACGGCAAGCTCTTCCAGTGGCAGCCGAGAGAGGATCGCTTCCTTCTCGTGATTTGCACGTCCGGCCAGATCTCCAATCACCTCATCTGCCTCGAGAAGCACATGTTCTTCGCGGCGCTGCTCGATCGGACGCTCGTTTTGCCCGACCCCAGCGTCGATTATTCGTACGAGAAGACGCTCGACATCGCCCACATTCGCAGCTGCCTAGGAGAGAAGACTCTCCTCACATTCCATGAGTTTCTTGCCAAGAACAAGACGGACATCCGGCTCCTGTGCTACATGAGTGGCTGCTACTTGGACAAAGATCACGAGAAGAAGATCAAAGCTTTGGGACTTTCCTGGAGTTCCAAGACCGATGCCTGGCCTGAAGAAGCTTCTCTCAAAGGTTATCCATCTCATCCTCGCGCGAGCGAATTCGTGGCGAAGTTCTCTTGCGAGGACGAGGTTCTCGGCATAGGGGACGTGTTCTACTCGGACGTGGAGTCGGAGCTCGTAGCACAGATTGGTGGTCCATTGCAGCACTCGTGCAAGACGATCATCCGGCCAAACAGGCTCATTCTTCTCACCGCGCAAAGGTTCGTGCAAACTTTCCTGGGATCCAACTTCATGGCGCTCCACTTTCGTCGGCATGGCTTCTTAAAGTTCTGGTAAGAAGAGCTTCGCCACCTTTTCTCTTCTTCTTATGACCTTTTCTCTCTTTTTTGGCAGCAATGTAAAGAATGAGAGCTGCTTCTTCCCGATTCCTCAAGCTGCCAGCTGCATCTTGAGGAAGATCGAGGAGGCCAAGCCCCGAGTGATCTACATCTCCACGGACGCGGCGGAGAGCGAGATCACTCTCCTCCAGCAATTGCTCGGCCCTGACGTTCCAATGATCCAGAGGCCACAGCACGACTCGAGAGAGAAATGGGACGCGATCCTGCAAAGAAAAGGCCTGCTAGCTGATAACGAGGTGAGCGATCTAAGCAAAACTTCTCCTTTCTGACGCTCGACTTTGCTTTGGTTGCAAAGGTGGTAGCGATGCTGGACAAAACGATCTGCGCTATGGCCGAATCGTTCATCGGGACGCCGGGCTCCACTTTCACGGATGATATCGTGAGATTGCGGAAAGAGTGGGGAAGTAGCAATAGCTGCGATGGTGTTCTATGCCAAGGACAGCATCCAAATTTCATAGCCGACACAGACTAAAACATAGAAACTCGACGTGTTCATAGCTCCCAATATTCTTCTTCTCGCTAGAATATTCGCTCCACAAACTAAGTTTAGTTCACGGGTTATGTAGAGGAGGGGCGCAATATTTTTCAAGTGATCAACCCTGGGAAGACTGGCCAGCCCAGGGACCTGAGGGATAGTCTTGTAGAGCCGATCCCGGGTTCGAACCCACCCGAAGAAGAGGGACCCTCAAATAAAACAAACTGATCACTCCCTTTTATTTTCCCATGCATGTTGGAGCACGGAATCGAACTCATCACTCCTTAGTACTTGTAAATTTTGAGCATGTGAAAGTTGGCTGGCAAAAATTGTGAAATCCTCAAACCCATCTATAATGCATTCTTGAAAGCAGAAGATGAAGGCTCTTGCATCCTCATCACTGGTGCTGGATCTGGCATTGGTGTGTCCCTTCTTTTGGCACACACAGCAAAGAGAGAAAAAGCGGAGTGAATAAGCGTCATCGGCTCACTTTCACTTGATCGAACTGTCTTTGGCGTGGACCTTGCGAGGCGCGGTGGAAACATCACGATTGTGGATTTGTCGTGTGAGAATGGCTGAGCCTGGTAAGAGAGCCGACGAATCCGAATCCTCCCTTTGCTATCTTTGTTGAGTGTGATGTCTGCAATCCAGGCGAGAGAGATACTTCAGCATTCCTTTTCCCTGATTGTTATATATTTTCCTCCTGTAGAGCAATTCGCAAAGGCATTCAAGGAGCACAAGGAAACGTTCTTGAGACTGGATGTGTGAGGGATCGTCGAGCAGGGGGACTTCGTGAGCGATGACAAATGGTGTAAGGTCTTGAGGGTGAACCTCATGGCAGCCATCGAATGCACAAGCCAAGCAGTAATTTCCACTGATACCTTTAAAACATTTGAACAGATCCAAGCTATGAGGTCCCAAGACAGTCCTGGAGGAGCCATCGTGAATCTCGCTTCGGCTTTCTTGTCCCTTTGTATCCGATCTACTCGGCATCCAAGGGTAAGTACATGCTTTTCTTTCTCTCGACTTCCTTCTAAGTTAAAGATGGACTCGGTTCACAAGGTCGCTTGTGGAACTACAGAGCGAAGGCATATGAGCAAACGTTCTGTATCCCTGGGTTTGGAGTTCATCCTTTTTTTTTTTCTTTTGCAGGATCATAAGCGAACTTGTTTCAGTACGTTGAAACGCCCATGCAGGGCTCGACTCGAGCGGTTTTAGGTTGTGATCTGGAAAGAATGGCATGGCGGGTCGATGAGCTCCTCGGCGTAGCCTTCCAGACCTCGCGAGAACATCCAGATCACGCTGCTGTAGTGATCCTTGACGGGTTTCAAACTCGCGCAACAAGATGGTTGTGAGGATAACTCATCTCCAAATGATAGAATAACTCTTTCAGAAAGAGCATAAGCCTGTTGTTGGCTTGACGCCGCCGTGGCGATCACCATGATCCACGTCCCTTGGTACCATTACCTAGACCCGCCTTGGTGCACTCTTAAATCTTTAATCCAGGTGCGAGAGAGAAGAGAAGATTTTGAAGGACAAGACTGAAGAAAGAGATGTTTGGCACTCCTTGGCGATCATCGCGATCAATCTCTACGTGAGCTCTCTCCTGAAGTTACCACTTGCACAACTTTTTATTCCCTGGTCTTCGAAACAAAATCTCCGAGGATCCGGATACAAAACCACACCTTCCTCCTGCGAGTTAAAAGTGATATCCCCTCGAAAGCTCTTGCCAAGCCTGGCTATCACCACGCTCCCCACTCATGGATTTTTGGCGTCCACCTTGGTTGTATCGTTAACCAGGGTTAAGGCCTAACTGCACTCGTTATGTAGAGGAGGGGCACAATTGATCAACCCTGGGAAGACTGGCCAGCCCAGGGACCTGAGGGATAGTCTTGTAGAGCCGATCCCGGGTTCGAACCCACCCGAAGAAGAGGGACCCTCAAATAAAACAAACTGATCACTCCCTTTTATTTTCCCAAGCATGTTGGGGCACGGATTCGAACACAGCACTCCTTCGTACTACGAACTAAATTTCTCCAAAATGTATCAACTACGCGAACATGTTTGGTGCTCGGAGTAGCGCTTTGAATATTACTTTGGACCTTCTTTTGAGCTGGAGGACTAGAGTTTCATGAATGAGACACACTAGAAGACGAGTGCCATGAGATCATGAAGGCTGAAATCAACGCAATGCTTCTAGCGTGAAGCTCTAATTTCGCCGTTGTCTTTGCTTCTTTCAAGAGACTTTTTCATGGTATGATCAATGTCAAATTAACAAAATTGGTTAGTGGTTACATTAGTGTTTGGGGTGGTGGTGGTGTGTGTGTGTGTGTGTGTGCGTATGGTGAGAAGTAAAACGACTATTTAAACAATGACTTTGCATCCCTTCTCCAAGCTCACCTTGGGCGTGATGTAGTTTCCGGCCAAGATAAAGTCGGACATAATGTTGTAAAAGTGTTCTGTGTAGTGAATGCCATCGAAGGTGAAGTACTCGCTGGGATGCTCGCACACCGTGTAGACTGCATCTGTGTGGTTCAATGGCGCACAGCCGCAAAGACCATCTCCATCACAGTTAAACTTGCCACCGCCGCCGCAGCACGACTGGAGCGAGTTCGTGAAGCCAAACTCTTCCATGTTCTCCAAAACGTAGGTGTTGGCAGCAAACCAATCAAAGTAGTAAACAGTGAGACCGGGATACTCTTGGGTGAGCTCGGCCGCCAAAGCCTGGAGTTGTGAGTTGAAGTAGGAGATAAGCTGGGCAATCTCGACGATACAACCATCCTTATCGTAGTGGTACATCCCCTCGGGGAACTGCTGGAAGGACTGAAGATAGTTTGGCGAGCAATCGGCGCGGGGCATGTTGTAGAGCAAGACATGGCGAGCTCCGTGTGAGTACAAGTTGTGGATTCCATCGGCCAGGCCCCGGATCACGGCCGGAATGGTGACATTGATCACGTAGCCACCTCCCAGCGGCAGCCCGAAGTTGATATCGTCACCTCCAATCTCGACCATGTAGAGCGCATTCTCGTACCATGGAGAGCTATCCTCGCGGCCGTATTCACCCACGACCTTGGAGCGGTGACGCACGAAATCGTCAACCTGGGCAGAGAAGATGTGCGGGCTGGAGAATGGCTGGTTCTCGACCTTGATCACGGTGGCTCCGGCGTATCCAAAGTTGAGGCTGACAAACTCGGTGCCATTGAATTCGAGGCTCGGAATGCCCAAGTTCTCGAGGTGGAGCTTCTGGATCAGAAAGTCGGGGATGACGAGCCCATCGCTGTAGCGTCCGGTGGGCCTTCCGTAGGTGACGCCATAGGGATACATGCCCGAGAGAGTCTTCCCGCCAGCCTCGATGTCGCGGTTGCCACCATCGCTGAGAGAATCTGCGAATGTAAACACTGCAGTGGGACAGATTGAGCCCTCCTTGGGCGATCGAATCGCAGCAGACTGAGAAAACAGTGAGACGATGAAAAGAGCAAAGATTGCAAGAACAGTGGAAGCCATCTTTTATGATGCTTTGAAACTGCGATGGAGTTGCTTTATATACTAGATCAAGGTGTACTAATCTCTGCTATTGGTATGCTAATTTGAGTTTCTGAAAGTCGATCAGTATTTCGAGTTACCAAAGCGATCAAAAAATCTTTTTCTTTGTTTTACATAAAGGTGAACTAAATAAAGAGTTCACATCATTTCCACAATGTTCTTGGTTTTCTTCTTGCGTTAAAGACGAAAAATCACCAGCATTTGCATCAAATACTTGCATTGATCCTTCTTCCAGGTAGCGATGTGAGCCGCGAGCAGAGTAGTTCTGGAACTGTCTAAGCGAACACATGATCCCGCCCAATCATGGGGCCACACTACGCCAAATCATCTTCGTATTTCAGCAGCACGGTATTCATGAACCGGTCCCCGTCCTAGGCAGCAATTGATGGAGCTGATGGCTGCGATTCTTGTGAATTTTTCCAGGAACCAGATTTTTTGAAACTCGAAATACTGATCGACTTTCAGAAACTCAAATTTGATCTAGTATGTAAAGCAACTCCATCGCAGTTTCAAAAGATGGTTTAGAAGTGGAGAAGATGGCCTGAGAGACTCTAGATGGAGGTGAGTCTTGTCTTGGTTGGTCTTGGTCTGGTGACAAGAAATTGATAAATTGGTTAGGGTTTAGGTTTCAGGTGTCATAAAAGATGAGTTTCCTAGGCAGCAATTATTCTTCAGAATTTTTCCCTTGAGCCTTGAGCCTAGATGGAGGTGAGTCTTGTCTTGGTTTGGTCTTGGTCTGGTGACAAGAATTTGATCAATTGATTATCCCATTTTCCCATAAGCAGCAAGATTCCCAGTTTTATTTACACAACTACAATACCTACCCCTTCATAATATTAAAAATAAGTATAATAAAGTTTTTTTTATCATGGTTCATTAATGTTCTTAAAGTAGTATTTATATCATTGATTTATACATGTAGATGCATATGGTAGTGGATATACCTAAAATATACTTAAATATTCTAGGATATTCTACCATCTAACGGTTGTTATTCATTTAGATTAATCTTGTATTTATAATTTATAAACTTTCTTAAACCCTTTCTAATATATTATTTTTTATTCTTAATAGTTGATATGCAATAAGATTAATCTTGTCTTTATAAACTACATACATACTTATAATTATAAACTTTATTTAATCAATTGGATTAATAAGTAGGGATAACACCACTATTAAGCAAACCAAGCATTGCTACATGCAATGCATAGCAAAGTTTTTGAAATTAAACTAAAAAGTTTTATGATAATTATAAAGTGTTTTCAAATATAAAACTTAATTTCTTGCAATTTTTATTATGTCCTACTATGCACTCAAAGTTAATTATAAATGACTAAATTTTTTATTATACTTTAGTCACTTAACCACACATTTGGCCATATATAAAAGTATTACTCACAACCTCTATAAGTTTTCATCCCAACTTAGGGTGTTTATTAAAATTCAAAAGGTGGCCTCCACTTCTGACACTTAAAAGTATCATTAACATATTAGTTTCTTACATTAAAGTGATATTTATTTTCACTATCTTAATTGTTAGTCCAAGACCACATGCACTATAGATCTATCTTTTTAAAACAAAACTATCCTTTTCATGAAAGCTCACTTTATAACCATTTCTTTAGTAGCTCTATGATATGAGGGAATATTGTCCTTTAATATTCTTTATTTGATCCCAATAAAGCCTCTTTTTAATCATAATAGTGCTCACTAACACTGTCACTAAGCCTATGCCTAAAAGCCTGTTTATTAAATTTCATTAACCCTTGGGACTTCTTCACCATGTAACTATATTTTTTATTACTAAGCAAGAAGACCACTTATTTTCCTTTTTACAATTAAGGACTTTAAAATACCATTTCAAAACACTATAACCCAGTATAAGCTTTATGGATATAATCCCCACCTTTCATCACCATGGTGCCTCAATCATGTGGCTAAAGTGAAATTCTAATGAGCCATATAAGGTATCCAAGTAGATAATGCCACTTACACTTGGATTGGAACTATGGGTGGCATTTTCAATCTAACTATTGAATATATATCTAAGAGGCATGTAAAGTATCTTACTGATGTGTCGAATATATTTAGGGCCAAATATCAAGACATATCAATTCACCCCACTCCCATCAATCATTCAAACTCTTGGGAGGAAATTATATTATTTGTTCATCTATGTTTATTTTAGCCTTAAACTCCTCATTCATTAAGTAGGTATAATTTTCTTTTACCACTAGAATCCTCCCTTTACTATCTTGCAAAAACTCATAAAACCTCTTAAAGTTTAAGGGATGATCAATTTGGGCTTTCATCCCACCCTTTAAACATATTTAGGCCTGGATATATTTATGTTTGACTTTTCAAACACTTTGTTTTATAATGAAGTGAAATGGTTTTAATATCATTCTTGTAAACAATTAAAAAGAATGATGTGAGAGAGGATCTATAATAGTTCAAATATAGAAAGAAAGAACCTATAAATAAGAGTGCATCCCTTTTATCAATTAATTAAAACGGTTTTATGATATTGTTTTTGGGTTTTAGTAGTATTAGATTGGGTGATCAGGAAATTTATAATATTTTCATTAATCAAAAACAAAAATTGGGGGCTCAAAGATGATTAAATATCGTTTTAGTCTACATTATAAATGTCTTTCGCGTTTAGTATCACACTAGTAAATATAGTTTTGCTAATTTATCTTTGCTAAAGTTAGATATTTTTTAATAGCTTTTTATATCACATATTAGTCATTCTTTTGTCTCTTTTTGAACACTCTCTTATCAATCACTTCATTTTTATTTTTCAAGTGTTTCTTTAAAGAGTTTCATTCTCACTCTAAAATTGAACTTGTCCAAATTGAACTTGACATTCGAATTTTCCAAATTAAAGTTTTTAGTCCAAACATGTTATATTTATTGGACTTCTGCCTTGGTCATTGCTATTACTTTGGGACTTAGGGATTTATGTTTTATATTAATAATTAGTTTGAAAAAAAAATAACTTTATACATGAAAAGGTTATTAAAACAAAAAAATATAGTTATAACTAAAGAATAATAAATGGATTTGAATAGTTCCTTCTAATTATTAATTTTTTAACTAAAATGATAATTTAGTAAAAGCTTGAACCTTGAAAAATTTCAAATATTATAAGTACCTTTAGCAATAGATAAATATTCACTCAGCTTTTATTGCTATGTTTATTAATTTAGATTTCATCATATATCTCAGATAATAGTAATCATAAAGGGATTTTGTATATTTATTCAATACATTGATATAATTATTGAAAGGATAGATAATATATATTTTTCAGAATATTATTTTTTATTTTCTTATTTAGTTTTACTATTTAAGCCAAACACTTCACCATTGAAATATATATGTTTTTCTTTTCTTTTTTTAATGTTATTTTAATAAATAAATGGGATGATTAATGATATAAAGTAGCATAACTTAAATTGATTATTTCTCAGTAAATGATAAAATGAAATTGCTTAGAAAAATAAATTCTTTAAAATTATTACCATTCAAGTTCAAATTAATCCTATATTCAATTTTGTGAGAAAGATGGGGTAAAAATGTATTTAAGCATTTTTAATCATTAAAATATTAATTTTTTAATTAATTTAATCTATATTTTAACTTTATTTTTAATAGTGGTATATATATTTTTTTGTTTTAAATTTAATTTAAAAGAGCCAAAACATATATCATATTCTCTAAGGTTTAATTTGTTTCTATTAATAAAATTATATATGTAAAAAGTAACTTTTTTAATGTATAAGTAGTAATATAAAATTTGTTACTACCTCTTGGTGATGGGGATGTACTATTATTTTGTTAAAAGATGTATTGCTCAAAAAAAAAGAAACTAAACAAGTAAAATATAATAATTATAATTAAAATAATATTCAAGACTATGCACAAAATACATAAAAAGGGTATGATACATAGAATATTAAACTAAAGAATATTCTTTTAAGGTTTAGGGAGAGTTGTTTTATACCAGTTTGATAAAAAAACTCATTTAATTGAAACAATTTAAATTTTTATATTTTAGCAACATAACAAATTTAGATTTTATATTTAAGAAACTCATTCCACAACATTTTTGTTAGTTTATCTTCAACTCATAATTATATTTGATAATTTTCCAACTATTTTTTGAGCTTATAAAAGCTAATATATTTTATCAAGTTAATTTTCAAAATATAGTTTAACATCCTCATTGTTAAATAAAACATAAATAACTTTTATTACTTTTGAAAAAATTATTTTAAAATTATACTACTTTTTATAACTCAGTCTATGTTATAATAATGCTTTCATCAAATTTTTTTGGGCATTGGAACACAAACGAATGAACAGATTTATGTAGTTTGTAAAGCAAAGAATATTTTATGATCATATTTTTTAGTTTGTACACAAAATAATTATTTAGAAATATAACATGAGGAAGTGAAATATTTAATTTTTAAAAAGTAAAAAGTAAAATGGCATTATTAATAGCAAATTGCAATTCATTAAATGAAAATATATTAGGGATTATGCTGAGGGGAATTTTGCTTCTACTAATATTTCTAGCAGTTTACAATTGTTATTATTTATAATCAAATTTTAGTTAGTTAGAGGTCAATGTGTGTTTAACAATTTTTCAACTAAATAAGAGAACTAATTTAGTGGGCGCTGTGAAGTCGGTGAGTGGAGCGCCTTCCGGAACTGGAGTTAAGCGACACTCAATGCCACAAGGCAAGGCGCTGGCAGCTTCCATTGTCATAGGAGAGTTTGATCGGTGATGACAATGGAAGCTCCTAGGCAAAGAGGTAAGATTGGGTGTTGCTGGGAGAAACGCTCCGAGGCGACGATCGATTATTGCTCGCTGGTCTCAGAATACACGCAGGATGGAAAATTCCTGAAAGTACCGATCTTGAGACGATGCAGAGATCCATGCTGCGTCTGACGTGGAAGGGTTGGAGCTCAAATTCTTCGAAAACCATTTGGAAAAATGGTACCTTTGGATCGAGAATACATCACAGAGAGACTAAACCATCGCTTCTATACAAGCTTACAAGCCCTGCACGATATTACATTAGAACTGAAGATAGAAATCACAAGATAGAACCTTAAATAGTAGATCGTGAGCTAGTGTCTCCCAGTCGAGTGAAACCGAGAGAAGCGAGCATCTGAGTGGAATCAAGTCCTCATTTGGCCCCGACGATGCAGCTAGATAAGCGTGCTTTGCCGCGTCGGCCGCCTTTCGCACGATGGTACCGATTCCAAGCTTTGCTCCAGTCTTTTCCGAAGGTATTGGCGATGGTGCTTCGACTGGTTCCTCGCTGGGATCTGATCGTGGTAGCAGAAAAACAACTCTGTGAACCTCTTCACGAAAAAATAATTCTTGCTACCTGGTACTCTTGTAACAATCACGTCGACTTCGCCACGGCCACCAGGCCCTCGCATCACAAGCCTCTCCGACTTGCCTCCCAAATGTAAAAATCCAAAGCTCAATTTTCCACCTGGAAACTCCGAAGAATAAGAATGCTACGTAGTGGTTGTATGTGCACTTACTTTCAAAAGCGGAACGCACCATTTCGTAGCTTACAAATCCCGAAAACAATGTCACCTGGAACAAGGCGTGAGAAGAATGGTGTGACGGAAAAGAATTACCACTGCGCTCGAGCGTGAACCATCCTTTCCTCTTATAAGTCTCCCGGATCCAAATGCCGCTCCTCCCGTGGCGTGAAGGAGAACGCAGTAACAATGATCTTCATTTTTAAGAATCTGCACGAGAAGCATAAGATCAAGACGACAAGATGACCAAGATTTACCAGGTGTTCAAACGTATCGTCGTGATCATCAACCGAGAAGTAAATGTCGGGATAAGATGACACCGTCTCCGAAGCCTGGAAGTCCCAAGATCAGGAAGACAACGCCAAAACGAAGCACTTACTTTTGAAGACTTTGTTTGAAAATTTGAGCGGCTTGGCGAGGCAAAAACATTTTTTGTGATCTGGAAAACCAGGCATTGTCAAGAAATAAAAAAAACGAGAAAACAGAGCTGAACCTTATAGATGGATTCCAGAGAACTTCCGGAGGAATTTCGATATCTAAGCAACTCTTCTCGGCTGCAGGATGAGAAAACGTGAGAGAAACACCAAGCAAATCGTTCGATAAATACCTACAAATCGAAACTGTTAATGTGTATGTTGTGTGCACTACAAGGTTGAGATAAAAGGATCGTCTCCAGTCCACTTCCCGTGTTCTATCTCCAAGAACTTTACTTAGCTGTGGAAGCCAAGAGAGATGCTACTTGAAGAACAAAATGAGAGACAAACCTGTGGTTGCCATCGGCGCACGAAGCATGGCTCCGCGAAGATTTTTCCCTCGTCATTGAATCCACCACCGCCAAATTCTAAGCTCTGGAGAAAACCGAGAAGAAAATCGAGTCTCAATAGAAGAGAAAGAATTTTTTCCGGACACTTACGAGCAAATTCACGAAGAAGAGAAGATCGTCGCTAGTTGTTTTCGACTGCACGAGACCACGGACGAAGAACATGTCCAGCATTTCTTGCCAGAAGTGCGAATCCCCGCTCTCCTCCCCATCGCGCGCGATAGTCTGGCCGAGAGAGCTCGAATACTTGCGGACAATCGCGAGAAGCTCGTCCCTGCGCAAGCGCGAGCTGAAAACCTATTTCCCTTTCTAAGCGATCATACCTGGAGGGGGCGGTCATCGACATTTCTCCCTGGCTTTCATGAAACTGGGATTAGGGTTCTTGGTATTATAGGGTTCTTCGCTTCTCTCTTCTCTCTAGTGGCAATTGGCGATGGCGCTCTCCGACGATTCGAGCTGGATGACTGCCGCGCACAGCATGGGCGTAAGTATAGCATTCGATCTCCAGCTGAGCTTGATTTGCCTGTGTGCGCGCGTAGACCACGATCATTGGTGTGGAGTACGCCGACGGTGTTGTTCTTGGAGCTGATTCGCGAACCACAACAGGTACAAAGAGTTTTACTCTTTATCTTTCATTGGTAGCTCCCATTTTTCCTTTGCTCAATCAGGAATCTATGTCGCAAACCGAGCTTCCGATAAAATCTCCAAGCTGACCGACAATGTCTACATTTGTCGATCTGGATCGGTAGCTTGTTCTTGGTGTTTTGTGATTTCTTTGTCCTTATATCTTGTTCCAGGCAGCAGACACGCAAGTAATCTCCGATTACGTTCGTTACCTCCTCCACCAGCACACGTAAGTGATCGATTTTCATGGTTTTCGTTCTCTCTTATTTGTCTTTTTGGATCCAGGATTGTTTTGGGTGAACAAGCAACTGTCAAGGCAGCTGCGAAGCTGGTTAGAGAGATTGCCTACTCGAACAAGGTTTGTTTAGCAGCAGCTTTGACTGATCTATATAAACAGTGTGTGTTGCTTTTAGTCCTTCCTCGAGGCTGGAATGATCGTCGGAGGTTGGGACAAGCACGAGAAAGGTAGCATCTTCGGTGTGCCAATCGGTGGAACTTTACTCCGCGTGCCTTTCACGATTGGAGGTAAATCAAAGCGTGTTTAGAAATTCCAGTTCTTAAGCCTTCCCTCTTTCCTGCCAGGCTCTGGATCGACCTATATATTTGGTTTTCTCGATCAAGCGTGGAGGCCAGGAATGAGCAAACAAGAAGCACAAGTATGTCCTCCAAATTTCTCTCCACTTTCCTGATCTTTTCTGGCAGGACCTCGTCGTTAAAGCCGTGTCTCTCGCCATGGCTCGTGATGGCGGCAGTGGTGGCGTCGTGCGAACTGTGACAGTGAGTAGAATGTCGCGAGAACATACTTTCTCTTGTATTAACTGGAACTTCCTGGTGTGATTTCCAGATAAGCTCGGAGGGCGTGACTCGGGATTATTTCAGCCACGACAGGCTACCAAAGTGGCACGAGGACATACCGGCGGGCGTGTCTACGGCTCTCGAGGCCCTGGAAAATGCCAACGGTGAATGGATGGTTGTCTAGAACCGAATTCAGGACTTTAAATCAGTGAAAAGCTTGTTCAAGTTTTGAAAACTTGTTTGTTGATGGACATGGCGGTGGTCTGCAATTCCTGGTGTTCTTAATTCTACGATCTCTAAGTTTCTGTAGTTATACAAGACAACCAACTTAGACTCATACTAAGGGAAACGTCGGTAGATATAATTTGACTTCACTGACTGAAATAAAACCAGGATAAGGATGGTGTGGGGTTTGGCGAAGGTCCAGATTCCGGAACAATCCACTTGCGAAGAAATCTTGTTCCAATTCTGTGCAACAAGAGGACGTTAAAACAGCGTAAGAACTGACGTTCAGGGGCGTCTGAAAAAATCAGTAAGTGTGAACTCGATCACAAAGAAACTCTTGAGTGTTGATGCAAAACTGAAGATCATCGCCACCACCTAGCCAAAAGTAAAGCACGCCGCAGCCGACATCAACTTAGTCAAGCTTGGAAAGTCGCTTCCAAACCAAGTCCGCGTACTTGGAGAACTACAAGATTATTTACACTCGTTTACCTTTGCTCGAAACTAATAACTAAGAAGCACTGTTTCAATTGAAGCAATTGGTAATCAAGTTGGCACAGCCTTTTCCGCAACAAGAATGCTTCCCAAAACTGCGCAGTCTGACGAGCTCAAACCATGCCGACTCCTTTGCGAGTCGAGAAATCCCCGGCCAGCAGCGCCATCCGGGACGTAAGGCATGGTTTCCAGGAGCTCTCTCGCCTGGCTCAATCTCCCAGTCCGTCCCAAAAGATCCAGCACCGAGCAGTAGTGTCTGGGCTGAGGCTTGACTCCACAGTCGCCGCTCATTGAAACGAAGATCTCGCGTCCCTCGCGAAGCCGCCCTGCGTGGCTGCAAGCAACCAAGGCACTCAAATACGCAACTTGGTCAGGGAGAAGCCCGTGCTGGATCATCTCACGAAAGAGATCAATCGCTTGCGCTCCATCGCCGGACTGGCTACACGCGGAGATCGCCGACGTCCACGACACAACGTTCCATTGGAAGATCTTCTTGGATTCCTGGAGATTCCCGCGGTGGGAGAATGCCGCCAGGATGGAGTTCCAGGAGACGATGTCTCTCTCGGGCATGAGAGCGAGGATTTCTTGAACGAGGCCCAGATGCCCTTGTTGGGTATATCCCGCAAGGAGCGAGTTCCAGGTCCATAGCTCCCACTCGGGCATACTCTCCAGCATCCATCTTGCTTCCTCGAGGTGCCCTCTTGACGCCATCGCCGCGATCATCGTGTTCCAAGTCACAAGATCGCGCTGCTGGAGCCGGGAGAAGATCTCGCGCGCTTGAACCAACCTACAAGGAGGCCCAAGATTGCATTGGAGGAGCGGGCATAAAGAAACTGACCAAGCCGGGATACAAGTTGTCCCAGAACATCTCGCCAACTCATCGCCAGAGCGGATCGGAGAAGACACGGCCACGATATAAATTTCTTAGCTTGATTCTTTCCATTCTTTTCGTAACGCAGAAGATATGAAACAAAATTTTGTGCGCTATAATCATATACAATAATCAAGGAAGAATCGTTAGAGGATTTATACTTTTCTTTGTCTTGTTTACTCCATGGAATCCATTTTTACATGTTCACGGACACAGGGATCAACCAGGACGAGTTTTTACGTTCTTCCCAAAGACAATGCTGGTTGTTCCAAGAATCCAAGTTTTGAAGCTTGGTGGTGGAGGGATGTTCCTAATCTTTGAAAGCAAGAAGACGAGTTGGATGTCAACTCTGTTTAAGTATCCAAGATAATTGGTGGCATCCACCTTGGAAGGGGACTGGACAAGCACAAAGCAGAGTAGCGCAACGAACACCAAAGCTCTCACCATATTGAACCTTTTGTATGAAATGCGTTGTTGAATGTTTTGTGCTCGTATGGATCCTTGGAGATTGCCATTTATACTATACGGCGTACAAAACAAAGTTGCTCACGCAATTGCAACTTCCATGGAAATTGTTGAATGGGCAAGCTCTGACACCGACAGTATGAGTCTAAGTTGTGGCACTTAGTTGCCGTGGCAGCATCCTGGGCCCTGTGGCTGTGACTGGTGAATAGCTCTGCATCTTGAACATCCTGTGAATCTGTATATATTTTACAAAACTTTATAAACGAACATTGAAAATCAAAAACCATGTATTGTTTATGAGTTGATAAAATAAACTCAAAGACAATGCATATTTATTCATGTTCAGCTCATTACTATATGAATAACAGGAACAGGAACAGGAACAATCATTACTAATGATTGACATTGTTTATGGTGTATGTTCATATGATAATGCGAACAAGTAGATAATCCTATGTCTCGTACTTAATTTTGAACCCCTTGAACGTGACTGGTCCAGAGCTGCCTCTAGGAACAAGAGTGACAACAATGTAGTCTGCATCTTCCAGCCCTAGCTGCTCTAGCGTGTCACTTATTCCTAGCCTCATCTCCGTCTCCATAATGTGCCCCTTCCCTGCAGAGTCGGGAACGTTCACAAAAGTTCCAGCAAACTCCACCACATTGACCGACGTGTTTTCATTCGCATTTGGATAGTTGATGTAGACATCGAATTTGGTGGCCTTGTTGTAATCCAGCTCCACTCCTTGGATCACCAGGATCTCCTCAACTTCATCATCATCATCATCAGATTTATCACCACCTCTACCTGAGAACAGGGTCGGCAGGTTATTGAGCCCCAGCGCGTTATTGAGCATGATGTTATTGAGCCTGGTCAGCTTCAGTGGCCGCTTCACCTTAGTGCTGAACACACTCTCCAGTTTCTGGATCTTGCCGCTCACTGCCTCCCCGAACTCTTCAATCACATCAGCCGCTGCAGTTGGAGGTGAATCTGGCGAAGCAGAGACTAGAGGCTTCGACTTCGCTCCAGCAACGGTGGAAGGCCGAGCAGTCACCCAGGCATTGTGGATGTCCTGGTAACGGTACCCCAGCTGCTCGGTTTTGAGCGCATCCCGGACTCTCACCCGAACCAGGCGCCTTTTCTCATCGTAGAACAAGAACGTTGCATTAAGCCAATCCAGATCTTTGTAATCCCTTCTGGGGCGGAAGGGCCCCTTCCTGTTGCGCGGCAGCGTCTTCCACACGGTCCACAATCGGTCGAGGTTGGCGTGGTGAGGGTAGAAGATGGGATCCCTAGCCGCGGAGTAGAACACCCCCATGTCTTCAAAATGGGGTTTCGCGCTGCTCCCCGTCCATTTGTGAACAGTGTTATGTGGGGCACTTTCTATTGTTCCCAGTCCATCCGGCTTACTGTCACCTGGGTGGTACTCCTTACCATAAAACAATCTTGTCGTTCTGGCGTTCACAAGCTGCTTGTACATGAGCGCGTTGTTCTCTTCGCGCTGCTTCGAATCGCTGATCGGGGCACCATCGCCAGGGACGAAATTGAGATCCGCGAGCCGGGGCGGGAAATGATCTGGATTGCGGAAATCGTCAAACAGGACAGGATTGGTCAAGTACATCTGCGGGATGACATTCGGCAGTGGATCTGAAGCGAATTGATTGTCCCAGTTCCAGAACGGGAGCGCGAAGGTGTCGTCTTCGATCAAACTGGCCAGGATTCGCTCGTGGAAGTAGAGGAACCAGCGGTGCCAGGGAAAGAAGAACCAGTTCCTGTGGCCTCCCGTTAAACACCATCCTGTTTCAGTCTCTCTCCACCTAGCTGGCAATGATGTGGCACGATTACATGGCATTTCTCTCTTTCCACTCCCGTCTGCATCTATCCGCCCGACGACTGTGGTCTTTCTCCGCTTTTGACCGGAGGCGCTTCTTTAACGTCTGGAGTTTGGAAACATTTTTTTTTTCCATTGTGCGTCCTTCATGGAGAAAGAAAAGAACTTGAACAGTGAGACAATGGCATGTCTATCTCCACCACATTCGATTCCTCTCCATCCTTGTTCAACTTGAGAGAGGAGACTACATACCGGTCGAATAAAGAGCCTTGGAACAATTCCGGATACTTGAGTGATGATAAAGCTGAGCAAGGATCATTGCCCATCCACCTGCGAAGTTCCAATGGATCCCCAAGAGCATGCTTGAAAGTTTGCAAGGCATCTGTTGGAAAAATAAGACTCAGGATGATCCAAGAGGAGAAGACACTGTAGCAATAGTTACAAGTTCCACTGTGCAAAGATGAAGAGCATGCCCATATTCCATAAAGCCAGAGCTAATAGTACCACTAAGCTCCACAAATTCATAGAAACCTCCATATGATCATTGTTGCTGCCCCTTGAGAGCAAAAAAAAAGAGCGCTTTCAATCTAGCTGCTGCTGCTTGGGTCGACCAGCATTTCCATTCCAAAGAAGAACCTAAAACCCCCTAGAGAAGAGGGTAGAGCAATCTAGAGGAGCAAAGTAAAAGGAGAGATACTTACACACTGGTTGGCATTGGACGCAAAGTAAAAAAACCCCCTTTTCTCTCATCTCTGTTCTGTGAAAGAGACTTTGGTTCAAGTTAAAGTGATTGGAAGTAATGTTATGTGCCAGCACCAGAGAGAGAGAGTCGGACGGGAGTGGAAAGAGAGAAATGCCATGTAATCGTGCCACATCATTGCCAGCTAGGTGGAGAGAGACTGAAACAGGATGGTGTTTAACGGGAGGCGTTCCTGTGGATGTGGAGCCTTTCGGTGCTGTTGGCGTACAAGAATGCGCCATCGCAATAGGCACAGTGGATATTGGCTTGCTGGTCAAAATTGCGGGGATCGTCCGGAGGAAGAGCTTTCATCAGCTCGTAGGCTCGAATGTACTTGGCGATGTAGTCCGAGCTGAGGAGGTGAACGGGCTGCCTCAGGCGACTGGGGAGCTGGGTGTTGTGGACGAAGTCGACAACCGGTGTTTTGCTTCGAGGCGGGCAGCAACCGACCTTTCCAGCTGGAGTTTCAGCTTGGGTGCACCACTCTAGATCTATTGTTCCGTTGTCAATGGGTCGTGCCCATCCTTGCTGCTCCTGCTGGAGACTCCCAGTCGCTAGGCCCAGGGATGCCTCTCTTCTTCCTGTTGCTGTGGAAAGTAAAAGAAAGCACAAGATTTGAACTGGAAAATAGAACTTGGTCACGAGAAGCCTGGATAACAAACTGTCGCCGACCATTCGGGGAAGAACATTGTTCAGAATCCTGGCGCTTGATGGTGTTCTTCCCATTTCCTCTTCTCGAGCTTCTGCTTTTTCTTCTTCCGCTCAATCTGCTCAACGGGAACTCAAAACATGCTCCCACTCAGCCTGACTCAGGAACACTGCGCCCTTTTCAGAGACATGCTTGAGTTAAATTTGCATTATGAAACATAAACCCTTTTCTAGTTATCTCCAGTGCTTAGACAGAGTTACTGAATAGGACACTTCCTTTAAGGTACACGTGGATCCCACGTGCTAAATATAACCTCATATACTACAAATTCATTGGGACCAGCGTTCGACAAACCTTTTCACCTTCCAAATCAAAAATCCTCCTCGAGTTTAACCTCCAAGGATTTTTCAAAATTCCCAGGATTAAACCTTCTAATCAAATAAACAAGTTTACAATTGTGAGAAAATTTGTCGATAGTGTGCACTTTTTTTCCAGTGGTCCACAACTTCATCAAAGTTAAACTTCTGAATTTTAGGACCTTAAACTGAAATCCTTATAAGAGTATCAATTGTTTTAGTACTCATTTGATTTCTGTACTTGTTCTTGATCAAGTTTATTCTGCTAAAACCTCGCTCGCAACTTGCAGTGCTAACACAAATTTCACCAACTAGAATGTCGCGAATGTGACTTTAGGTATTGAAATTACCTATCGGCCAGTCCTTACAGACACTTTTACCTTACTGCCACGATGGCAGGAGGTCGGTATTGCTGGTTCCCTTTATTAGCCCTTCTTGTTCAAGTGTTAGTTTACTGGGCTTAGCACCTATACTTAGCCAAATGGACATAAGGTAGAAACTCCTATGTGTTTTTAGCTGAGCATACTGGCTTTTAGTTCTTTTTTGCTCTGTCTTGTACTAGCTTGACAAGAACCTTCACATATTGTGGTCCCTCAATATCGCTGGATGATAGATTACCGTGTCTACCAAACACCCTCGCTATCATGCCCTTTTGTATTAGTCTCATTTCGGTCCCAAATGCTATTTATGGAAAGTGTCTAGATTTGCTCATTTGGCATATCTATGGAATGTAGAAATTGGCCTGAATACAATGGTGTTAGTCCCGTATCCAAATTCACAATCTAGCGCCATTCTATATTTAGTAAGTTTCAAGCTTGTCCCAGAGACTAACTCCTGATACTAAAGGGGGCTTGGGGTGAAAGCCCAAAGCGTGTGTTCCTCAAGGGGGGGCTGTGGGGGGTTCCAAATGTATAGTAGGGATAGTGGGTAAATTGGGCATGGCTGACTAACTTGAGGTATAGTCTAGCTCCCGCTTGCGTGCTTGTCTTTGTTCTGTGTCTGGCTTGGGTCTAAGCCCAAGTTCCATACCATGTTAGTTGGTGGGGTACCCATATCCTCGTGTTAGGCCACTAGTATGCCGAAATAGTGCAAAACGCCGTTTGGCTTCGTTTTGCATGCTGGTTCTGGCATTAGGATGCTGGTTGCTCTAGGACTGTTCCAAGTCACTCCAGGCTCCTGGCCCTTCGCTCCTTGGGCTGTATGCTTAGGAATTGCTCCGTGGTTCAGTTCCGTCACTCCTTGGCTCCATGCTTGGGAGTTTGGCTCCGTTCCTTCGTTCAGTGGCCCAAGGCCCTGAACCTCGGGTTCCACACCATGTTCCTTTGGACACATGGCATGTGACATGTGGCATCTGTCACATGGCACAAAGAGGGTTTAGGTTCTGCTTCGTGGTGGTATCCTATGGTAAATCACCATAGGATAAAGGGTAAAAACCACGTGCACTACATTGAAGCAAGTTTGGAAAGCTCTCTGCCCAACCTACTTGACTATGTATGATGCTCCACATAAAATTTCATCCTTTCCATTCCTTTGAGGCAAGCAACTTCCAAGTTAAATACTCTTCCATGAAGGCTAAAGGATCCATAATGCCTTTAACAAGAACTCCATCCACCTCTAAATGCCTTCCATAAAATTCTGCAAGCTCCCTCGCCTCTGTAATCCCAAATCATTTGTTTTCCTTGACAAGGATTGGCAAATTAACTAGAGCTAGAACCTGCATCTTGGAGAGTATCCCTATGTCTTGTAGTCGTTGTCTAATAGCTGCAATAAGAGTAGAAGTAAAGGAGATTTGAAATTGCACAGCTCCTTGAAGATCACTTCCATCTTCTGATCTGATCAATTGCATAGTTCTATAAGCATCTCCTTTAATTGAAGCTCTCAAAGCATGGAGGAAGCCATCCTTACTACCACCATCAAGGATGTGTGGATATGATCTACCATCTATGGGATTACCGTTCAAATCAATCTCATCACTGATGTAATATTGGTTCAACTTCACAATAGTCTCTCGGCACAAGGGTCCAACCATGGTGATGTCGATTAGCTTCTCTTGGAATTTCTGATTGAGACTACTCATCACCTGTAAAACATCAGCTAGAAAATGCAAGACGTACATGTTCTTGAGAGTTTTCAACTTGTTGTAAAGTTGCAACTTGCCACTTCGTTTGAAAAGCTCAGCTACTAGCTCTAAACATTCGCAAAACTTAGAAAATGCCCCTCCACGACTTAGCCACCTTGTATCTTGTATGCGCTGCAGCTTAAGCTTGGTATAATCGTGTTCCATCTCAATTTCCATCAGTTGAGCCAACCTTTTCGAGCTTTTGCTGAAGTAAGCTGCTACCTTGTTCACTAGTTTATCAATTGTCATGCATTGTGTAGCACATTCTCCATCCCCATAAGCATCTTCCACACATAAATTGGCTCAATGTGCCATACAGTGAACACTGCTTAAGAAGGGATTAATCTCCTTTAGCCTGGTTGCTACCCTTGTTTTGCTACCAGCCATGACATTACATCCATCTGAACCAAAACCCATGAATTGCTGCATATCTAAGTTCTACTGCTTAAGCATATCACTAATGCAGTTAAAGATACTTGCTGCACCACTATCACCAATATTGACAATCCCCAAGTAGCTCGTCTTCACACAACCACATTCGATGTAAGTCACGTAAAAGATCAAATGCTTCATAGTGCTGAAAATAAATTAAATCATAAGAAAACTAATAAATCCAAATTAAGGAATACCTTATATCAATTGATTCATCCACCATCAATCAAAATAAGGACTTTCCCTGACTTTTTGTAAGATATTTTTAACCATAACCTGAAGTGAAACATGAACCATATTAGAATCAATTAACATGGTCTCATAAACATACCTCATTAATAGAAGTTATCAGTCGTGAACAACCTTTGTCACTGTTGTAATATCTTGGAATATTCATCCCATTAAGTCGATGAAGTTCAATCAGCTCTGGAAAATGAGTGAATGGAGCAAATCCTTGCGCAATATGATAAGCAGAACGAAATAACACAAACACCCCTTGTTCAGCATGGTGTAGATGTTTAATTGTAGCTTCTAAAATCGATTGCTACTTCCCACGACGCACCTCCTCAGCAAATACAGACTTCTTGTGATCTTCAGAGCTAGCATGACTGCGTAAGGCACTCTTTCAAAAATTACTGCTACTCTATTTGCCAAAAATATTCTTAGTTTGTGGATTTGCCTTGCAAATCTTGCAAAACATTGTGTCTTTAGTTGCATCAAATTTGTAAGGAACCGACTCCCCGAGATGTCGTAGGCTAAAGGATCCCCAAAAGCTTGACCGAAGTGACAAAGAGTTCATCGGATGGGACCAAGTCGAGGATCGAGTCCAAGACCGACTCTAGGACCGAGTTCGAGATAGAGTCCGGAATCGAGTCCGAGACCGACTCGGGGACCGAGTTCGAGTCCGAGTTCGAGACCGAGTTCGAGACGGAGTCCGAGATCCGAAATCGGGTCCAAGACCGAGTCCGAGGTCGAGTCCGAGGTCGGGTCCGAGATCGGGTCCGAGATCGAGTCCGTGATCGAGTCCGAACCCGAATCCGAAGTCGGATCCGAAATCGGGTCCGAGATCGAGCCAGAGACTAAGTCCAAATACTAATACGGGTCAAGGGGTGAAAGCCCAAAGCGTGCGTCTCCCAGGGGGGGGGGGGCTGCAGGGGGTTCCAAAAGTATAGTAGGGATAGTGAGGTCCAGGAACCAGTTTTGAAGGGACTCTCCAGTTGGGCTTCCAAACCGACTTGAGGTTGGGACTAGGACCGAGGGGCCTTGGGTGGGAGTGAGCAGGGACTTGGCTGGTGCCGGAGGGGCCATCCAAGGAAGTGCTCAAGAGCAGCTCCCACTCCCGAAAGGGAAACCGATTGCGGTGCTCCCGGCTCATGTGGAGTGGTGCCCCACTTGAGTACCATGCGGCTCATTGGTCCTCGCCCTTCCTAGGGGCTTGGGCCTTCCTTCGGGATGGAAGTGGGGGGCGAGAGGTACCCATACCGGGCCGCTAGGCCACGGTGTTTCGCCCCGGCGTCCCGAAGCAAGTGTTGCACTCAAGACTTGGGATTTAGAGGGTCCCATGATCAAGTCTTGTGGTACCAAGGGATGTTAGGAACCTGGAAGCTTGGTGTGCTTGGCTGCTTGTGCTTGCGGGGAGTGTAGCCGAACCTTAAGTCCAGTCTAACCCGGGGAGGGGGATTGGGAGTGATTTGGGAATCCATGGAAGGATGGCTAACACTCCGTTGCTCGTGCAGTGAGTAGCTGAAACCAAGTAGGAGCTAGTACCATAGGCGAGAACCTTGGCGAGGGAACTTAGCAAAAGCCAAGGCAGTGTTGGACGGATAGGCGAGGTAAGCTGGCAAAGTGGAAAGGAAAAATTTGTGGCTTACAATTTGGTATCGGAGCCTTCTCCTCAGTTCTAGCGAAGGATAGAGGCGGATTGCTGGGAGATGGCAAGGGCAGGGCGTAAGCGAACCCAGGCGGAGACAGAACCTCCACCAGAGCTGGAGCCTCCGGTCGAACAAGAGGCTATGGATGAGGAATCCTTGCATGAGGAGGACTCTAGTGAGGAAACTTCCAAACAGGAGTCCGGTGGCGAGGTTCGGTCGTCCAAGGCTCGATTGGACGTTCTAGAAGGTCAATTGGCGCAGACCAATGCCCTGCTGGAGACTCTCGTACGCAAGCTAAAGCGTGACGAGAAGCGGAAGAAAAGGCGAAAGACTGCGGATGCTGGCAGCGCAGAAGGTGCGGACCCTTCGGCAGGGACTGAAGCAAAACCAGACAAGGTCGAACAGACCGAAGTGGAATCAGTCCCTCAGGCAGTTCCC